CTGCTGCTGCTTTTTCTGCCTCCTCCTTTGCTTTTGCTTCTGCTGCAGCCTTCTGTTGTGCTTCCTTGGCCTCACGGGCTTTTTGAGCCTCCTCGTCCTTTGCCTTCGCTTCTGCTGCTGCTTTTTCTGCCTCCTCCTTTGCCTTGGCTTCTGCTGCAGCCTTCTGTTGTGCTTCCTGTGCGTCACGGGCTTTTGCAGCCTCCTCCTCCTTGTGTTTTGCTTCTGCTGCTGCTTTTTCTGCCTCCTCCCTTGCCTTGGAGTGTGCTTCCTGGGCCTCACGGGCTTTTTGAGCCTCCTCCTCCTTTGCCTTCGCTTCTGCTGTTGCTTTTTCTGCCTCCTCCTTTGCCTTAGCTTCTGCTGCAGCCTTCTCTTGTGCTTCCTGTGCCTCACGGGCTTTTTGAGCCTCCTGCTCCTTCTCTTTTGCTTCTGCTGCTGCCTTTTGTGCCTCCTCCTTTGCTTTTGCTTCTGCTGCAGCCTTCTGTCGTGCTTCCTCGGCCGGAGCGGTGTTTTGCTCCTGCGCTTTTGCTTCTGTCTCCGACTCCAGTTGCGATAAAGCCGCCGATGCTGCAGCCTGCGCTTGACGCGACAACAGAATTGCAAGATAACGATGATGAAAAGCGAAAAAGTTTGGACTAAAAGACTTGTTGTATGTCAATGTCACCATGATTCATGATGTCTCAACTGTAACACAAAATGGGGGCTTCATTAGCATACATAGCAAGCCAACCCCCTGGCCTTGTTTTCTTCGGTTCTCATTTTGCACAGCATTTCGGTGTTCATCGAGTAGCCCGCCAGCAGCAAGAGAACATCTCGCACTTTCGTCTCGTTGCCGGAAGCTGTGGGGCTCAACTTCTTGGCCAGATTCGTGAGGAGTTCACGCATTGAGCGGTGCAGCAAAGATGCCTTCACACCGACAACGTCCTGCTGCTGCACCTGCCACGCGGTGCTGGTTTAGGGAGGGTTTAGGGTTCAGGGTTTAAGGACGTTTCAGGTTTGGGGCATGGCTTGCTTATTCGGTTGGGACTGGCGAGGGCCATGGGGTTGGCAAACTGCAACGTGGCTACAGGACTCAGAGTTCAGTCTACTCTGCCGGAGCTGGATGGCTTGCATGTGCAAACACCGAGACACAATTAAAACCGTCCTTGTTAGGTTTAACATCACACGCCTGCACACTCAGCAGCGCCCCCGGAGGAATGTAGAGCATGTCCTTGGGGCCAATGGTGGCAATGTAGATGTCTCCACCGGCCAGCTTGAGATCCTCCTCAGTGGCCTTCTGTGCAAACGACTGGAAGTCGCTTGTCATCATCGCACCCTCGGCACCGCCATCGGCTGGGAACAACAGCGGTCTGGGAACCCAGACGCTTGCCACCAAAGTACCAGAGCTGACATACTTGATCATGGGGGCCAACGCTGACTCGAACTTCGCAATGCTGCAATGCTGTGCAACCAAGCCGAAGAAAGCGGGAGCCAAGCCGCCTTTGGCTAGGTCCCGATTCCAAGCTGCGTCACCGGTGTCGGTTCGAGTGTTTGGTCCAACTGCGAAAAGATTTTGCAGGGCATCCCCAGCCGCCTGGCAAAACTCAGCTTGGACACCATCACTGAGCTTGCGTGAGGCAAACCCGTCTGTGACTCTCAAATTGCTGTTCCGGAACACCGTCGCAAAGTCTTTGAGCTCTGCATTCTCCTTGTCCAGCAGCTCACTGCCGCGCAAAGTCCAGGGCGTCAGCAAGGTTTTGGCAGTCCACATCGGTGCATCCAGTGTGGTGAATGCGGGCAGCTCAGTCAAGCAGCGGAGCTCCAGGTTCAACAGAACGCTTTGTTGGCTACCGCTGGTCGCGCGGCGTTTTCTCGGCCTGGTTTCATCTTCTCCTTTTTTCTTTTTCTGTTCTTCAATCTTCTTGGCTCTCTCCTCAGCTTTCTTACGATTGGCATCATCTCTCTTCTTGGCAGTGGTCAAGTCGTTACCGGCAGCCTTGGTCGCTGCAATCAAACTCTTCAAGTGCCCATGTGCTTTTTTCAATTCCTCGTTCTTTTCGCGGATGTCTGTAATGGATCGGCATTCGTGAAAAACGTCCCCCATGGCCTGCAGCTGGAGGAAAGTGATAAGCGAGCTCCACGATGCGCAAGGCGGCGCCCTGCTCATGGCCGTAAGATCATCTGGTGATTGGGCCTCCGAGACACTGGCAGCGCCTCTTACAGCCTTGGGTCCGGCTGCAGCAGCCTTCTGCTGGGTGATCAGGTCGGCCAGCTGCCCTGGCTGCTCCACCAAGCTAGCTTTGAGCCAGTCCAATCTTTTGGCCAAGATGCTCAACTCCGCCTTGTACATGTTTCGCTGGAAAAGGCCTCGAAACTCCTCGAGCTTCGTGTCGCTTTCCTTCACCACCTCTTCAGCTGCTTCTCGAAGCTTTGCGCAGCTCTGCACCCATGCTCTTTCGGCTGCTGCGAGCTTGCTCTCATCAACCCATGTCTTCTTCTTGTCCGGATCTGGCTCCTGACGCGATGGGGGTGTGGGGGTGGGGGGTGGGGGGTGGGGGTGGGGGTGGCGGGGATGTGGGATGTGGGGGGGTTTGGGGTGTGGGGTCTTCCCCAGTAGACCCCACTTTGGTATGACATATGGTTATTTAGAGGTCATGGTTCTTTTCAAGTTGCATGGCAAGAAGATGTGCTGTCAGGGGGGTGACGAAGGCACGGGTACTAGTACTCATACTGTGACAACGACGACGACTACTACTATTGCCGGAAGGGTGGGCTCCAGTTCCAGTTCGATTCCGCCCAGGCCGGCACGTATATGGAATTTTATCTCATGCATGTTTTCATAACTGCGACAGGCAAGTGCAAAATTTTCAATACATGACGGCACGTCAACATGTCCCGCCTCTGCTTGGCCCTCCTCGTCACCAGAGCTGTACTCGTCGCTGCTGCCGGAAGAACTCCCGCTGGGATCTGGTCGACGGCTGCTGGCACCGCTGTTTCGCCGTGCCTTCTGATGCTGCAGCTCGATAGCCAAGTCTGCGGCATCGGGCTGTAAGGCAAGCTCTCCATCTAGCTGACTCTCACTCATCTTGCCCCGCACAGATTGCCAAGCCTGCTGACCTCCTGCACCCATGCTGTCCAACTCCGAGTCTGCCCCGGCTCCACCCACCAGCATCTTGAGTCGCAGTTGTCCTGCTTGGCTCTTGTTGTCCATCATGGCCTTGGGGTTGAGCCTCTCGGTCTTCTTGAATTCTCTCTTTCGGGCCAACTCAGTAAAATCCACGATGTCGGTAAACACTGGCACTTTGAGTCGCAAGTGGCCTCCTGGACCTTTCGTGTCCCGCACGATCGTGCGGTCATTCTCGTATTCTGTCCATTGGTTTTTTGCCTGTTGCTCCGAAAGGCTGCCTCCCTCGGTGGTTTGAGCCCACTCCAGGTACCAGCTTTTCCACATCATCCGTCCGCGATTCTCGACTCGCTCACCCTGCATGTGCTGAAGCGAAACCGCGAACTCCCAGATGTTGAACTTGAGCTTCAAGCCGGCCTCCTGCATCTTTTTCCTTTCCTTCACCCATTCTTTCACCACCTGGGGGTGATAACAAATATAACACGACAAGAAGGATGACGAAGATGTCCTACATTCTACAGTTATACAGTCTTGTCGATCATGCACCGTCGGACCTTGGCATGGGTTGCAGGGTCGCTTCTCGAAAGCTCCTGAATGTTGTCTTGGCAGCCCTGGGCTTCAGTTGCCCTGTGGAAAGCACGAAGGTCGGCCATGCATGCTTTGCACTTATTTTGATCAGCATGAAAGTCCTGGTTCCTGTCTTTTGTTTTCTTGCACTGCTGGCACTTAAACCACTGACTCCTCTCCTTTGGATTCTTGCCTGCTCGCCTTCCACCTGTGTTCCGTGGCTTAGCCTTGGCCTTGGATTTGCGTGGCGCCTTGCCCGTCCTGGATCTAGGCCCTTCATCGCTGCCTGGATCCTCATCCTCATCGTCCTCTCCATCTTCCTTGCTTGAGCCTGAGGCCACGCTTTGCTTCCTCTTCTTTTTGCTTGCTTTCTTAGGATTCTTGTTGCCCTTCTCTCGGGCACGCTTTCTGCCACGCTTCCCACGCTCAGCTGGCTCTTCTTCGTCAGCTGAAGGTTCGATCTCGCTGCATCCAAACTCTAAGTCCAAATCGTTCATCGCAGTGCTGGCTCAGCTTACACAAACACACTAGGGCACGAGGGCCTTACCTGGGCTTGCCCTCCCTGACCCCCAGCAAAGAAGCTGTTTTACTTTGTGTCCCAGGACCAAGCAATAGTAGCTTCACAGATGGAGTTCTGCTGTGACTGAGCCACACATCTCCCACATGAAGCAATTCAGCATGAGTGCACTGCCTCCTGCATCAACTAACAACACTTGAGCGCACTTCACTCTACTCAGTCTACTACTTGAGCCTGACAAATTGAAAACGTCGGCGGGCCTCTGCGTGGGAAGGGGAACGGGGACCACGGTCACGGTGTTGCTGGAAGATCTGCCCAGGTGCACCTCAATGGCAGACGATAAGAATTATGAACCTGATTAGCAGCTATGATTAGCAGTACCGCAACACCTATCGGACCTGTCGACGTCTGTCCTTTGCATCCTGTTCCACACGCGCAGCCACTCAACTTCCTGACTTCCTGAACGCATGCGCTGCCGGCGCTGGGCCGTAAACCCAAAACGTTAACACTCAGGGCTGAGAGTATGGCCTGGACCCAAGACCAATTTCCAACCTGCGCATCGGAATAAACTCAGATCATGCAGTGACAAGCAAGCACCCACGCAAGATCCCTCAGGCGGCCAGCGAGCAGAATGTACGTTGTGTGACAGCCACCCCCCAAAGTCCGAAAGCTTTTCCAACAGTCGCTGCGCACGCAACTGCAACATCTGACATCTGGAACTCGTCTGACACTGTCTTACGCATGCACAACATCTAGAAATTCACGTTGTTCAAGTTCAAGATATCAGACACATATGCTACACAATTCTAGTGTTGCTCAAATCTCCACCTGGCTGTCAGTCCGATCACACACTTCGCGTACGTGACTCAGCAAAAACAAAAGCACTGCACCCAACACATGCAGGTGCATACTGTTCCCACTCATACTCCTCTGATGCCTTTGAGGCAGGTTTTTGAAGGCACTCCTCAGCTTTGCACAGGGGCCCAGCTCTGCCTTGCCATAGAGATTCCAGCCCTGCACTTCAAAATGTTCACTTGCCAAGGCTGCTCGCTCGATGCCAAACAGATATAGCTGACTGCGAGTCAGCAATGCTGGGATGCACTGCCTTGGCTGGATGTAGTCGACACTCTGTGTCAGGTTTGCCACATAGTTTGTGAACGGAGGTATCGCATTGTCTTCAAGCCACTTCCTCTGCTCCTGCACGTTCAGCCGTGTTGCTTCAGTGCTAGCCTGCAGATAGCTCCAGCGCCTTCCGGTTCGGGTGGTTTCAGGCTTGTGCTGCCTTTTCAACAGAGCCTGAATGTGACTTTCAACATCTGACTGAGGAGCACGAAATTTCTCCAGGACCGGCATGACCACGTTGCTCTCAAACACTTCATCGAACACCTCTTGCACCGAGGACTGCTTCACATGCTCGCAAAACTGCCAGCGATTCCTGTGAATCAGCAGCATGTAGACACGCCGCCTTGACACCGGTTCGCCCAATGTCTGAGGACACACCTCCAGTGCGTGCAACTCATACACTGCCGAAACAAGCATGCCCAACTGCCGCACATCGAAATTGCAGGTGCACTCACAGACTATAAAGTCGTCTTGTCTGCCCAAAATTTCACTGCACCATTGAGCCCAAATGATACCGGTATCACCGAGCCAGCCCAATTGATTTCCCATGGATGACCAATCTTGGCAGCAGAAACCTGCCACACTGAGAGTGGTGCTTCTGGACCCTGTCTCCCCTGATGGATCCGCATGGGGATGCACTCTTACACAGCAAGGGCGGCCATGCACGTAGCAGTGGCTGCGGAGGTGACGCTTCTTGCTTGGAAGGCTTTGCTGCAGCAACTGCACGGCATCAGCAATGAAATCCCGTCCCAGCTGCCGGCACTTCTCTGCAAGGCCTTTCTGAGGGCTGCTTTTGCGCTTCTTGCCGACATCATGACCTGTTGCCTCCAGAACTCGCAGAGCCTCCGTCCGCTTCCTTTCGAGAATATCATGAGCATGCTGCGGAATTCGGTCCTGAATGTCTCCAAACAAACACTGTGGCCGGCTCTCTTCTCCGTGCTGCATCAAAATGAATCTGCACGTTTGTTCCGCATCACAGGAATGCTCCACTGACATAGGCAAGGGGTTGTTGGTCTGGTTCTGCAAAATTGCCCTGAGTGCTTCCTCTGCTGTCCCAATGCCTGCAGAGTTGATCGTGAAACAGAAACGCCATTGTTCACTAACGCAATCGAAAAGACTTTAAAACCTACAGATGGGCAAAAACACCGAGCCTGAATAATCTGTGGTCAGCTTGAACATGGTGTTCAAGTTCTTCTGCAAGAGGGGGCCCTGTCCTGCATTCTGCAGTTTAGCCATGTACCTCTGCACCCACCGGTCAGATTCCTCAGAAGTGGAAGGCCCTGCAGGCAGGGCCATGGTGGAGGTCATAGCACTCATGGCACGGTGGCACGCAACACAGCTAGAAAGTTGAAAATTATTGAACAGTCATCCTAGCTTCTCTAGCATCAGCAACCACTAGCTCACCAGCAGTATCTGTGTGCTATTGCAATAGGATCCCTTGACTAAAAAGAGCTTTGCAGCTTCCTGGCAACAGACATCTCACACAAACGCCGAAATCCATTCACCATTCCAGTTTCACCGCAACAGCAACCAGGCACCACCTAGCTCATGTTTTCAGCTGACCAACCGACAACTCATAGGTCGGCCTCTGCATCATGAAGCCAGCACGACTCCAGGGACGCCACATCAGACCACATCGCCTGCCACGGCAGCCATGTCCAAGATTCTATGTCTGTACGCAACTAAATGTGCAAGTTTACGCAACAACTGCAGCCACTACCATCGGCCAAACGAAGCCGAAAGACACGAGGTGCCAAAGGCGGAGCTGACACGAGCCTCGTGGAAGATTACGGCGACAGTGACCGACAGTGCCCAAAGCAGCTAAAATCGAGGATCCTGGCTAAGGGCTAGGGCTCCAGGAGTCATAAGGCTGAATAGGGCTTTTTGGGGTGGCCTGGGGCGGTGTCACGGTGCACTCCGGTGGGTTGTCCTTATTTGTGGTGCTTCGGGCTCGCTTTGGGGCCTAATCGGGCCTACTTTGAAGGCTTTGGGCCAATTCGGGTTAAATTCGGTTGGATTTTACTGTTTTTTGCATCCCGGAATTGGTTGTAACTATTTTGCAAAAGTTTGTCCTTATTTGTTTGGCCTCTTCGAAAACCGTCGCCCGAACCGCGCCCGAACCACGCCCGAACCAACCGCCCGAACCACGCCCGAACCACGCCCGAACCACGCCCGACGCCCGAACCACGCCCGAACCACGCCCGAACCACCGCCCGAACCACGCCCGAACCACGCCCGAACCAACTACGCCCGAACCACGCCCGAACCACGCCCGAACCAGCGCCCGAACCACGCCCGAACCACGCCCGAACCACGACCGACGCCCGAACCACGCCCGAACCACGCCCGAACCAGGCCCGAACCACAGCCCGAACCACGCCCGAACCACGCCCGAACCGACCTTGCAAGTACCTGCCTCAAAAAATTGACCGAATGCATGGCGCAAGGAAAAACGAACAAACGAGGACAAATAAGGACAAGGCTGAAAAAACGCACCAACCAGCACAAACAGCGACAGACAAACGAACAAACAGGGACAAACAAGGACAAGGCTGGACAACCGCACCAACCAGCACCAACAAGGACCGACAAGAGGCTGGCTCAAGGACAATGTAGGGCCACGGCTGTCATGCATCGTCTCTCCAGATGGGAACCTGAAAGATCAGACCAGCTTCACTGAAGGCCGATTGTGAGTCTTGCTGAAGCTGTCGCAAACACGATAGTTTGGAGACAGGATACAAACACGAAGGAAGACACGTACCACGTGGGAGAAGAGAGATAAAGAGGAGAGGTGTAGCTTGGAAAAGATACAGCAGCGAGAACCAGCCAAAAATTGAGAGACGAAGACTCCCTCCCAGAACAGAAATATTTAGAAAGTCTGAGAAACTCAAGGATCGGATAGACAGAAAGAGAGAGCGAGAGAGAGAGAGAGAGAGAGAGAGAAGAGACAGATAAGAGACAGAAAGAAGAAAGAAACAGAGAGAGGCACAGAGAGAATCGAATGAAGCAGGAATTAGCCAATACGTCTCTGCACTCTGCACAAACGACTTTCATTCAGAAGCAATGCTGCTCTTGCGTTGCGCTTCCTGGTGAAACTTTGCACTGCATGTAGGCGCGCCCTACACGTTGAGGCTGGCAATCCGCCATGCACGGCGGTGACAACAGGTCTTGCGTGGAGATGCGGTGATGCGAGAATGGGACAGAACCTTCAGCTGCTAGACGAACTGGAGCTGCTAGAGGAATCGGAGCTGCTGGAATCAGTGGTCAAGGAATCGTCGTCACCGTCACTGCCATCGGACGGGGGGTCTGAAGCTGCTTCATCGCTGACAGAAGAATTTCTCACTGCTGTCTTCGCCTTTGCTTTCCCCTTGGATTTCGCTTTGACAACCGCCTTAGCCTTGGCCGCCTTGGCCACGGCTGAAGCCTGTCCTTTAGCTTTGGGTTTGGCCTTTGACTTCACCTTTGCCTGTGCACTCACAGAATCGGAATGCTTGCGCTTGGAACCTCTACCTGGCCTGTGCGATGCATCTGCCAACAGCGATGCAGACGGCAGGTCTGCTGCTACCTCTGGCTCTGGCTTTTGCTCATCATCCGGAACAATGTCAGCTGCGGCAGGGTGTGGTGGCATGGCACGCAGTTTACAATCTAAGATTGCATCCGGCAGAATGTTGTTGGGAAACAAGGGCTCACGGGCATGTTGATCTTTTCGAGTGTGCTTGCATGCAGTTAAGCACCAAGCCTTGAGCATCTGCAGAACCTGCGTTTTGCTTTCAGGACTATCTGAAATGTTGACTGCTCGGGTGCACCAGGTCTTACGATTAAGTTTATGGTATTTGCATTTGGCTTGCCAGGCCCCGTGGGGGGGCCTTGTTTCTGGGCCGGAGAAGGTGAGCCTAAACCCACCCCAAGTGAAACTATCTGGGTGAACTTCCGGCGCCCTGGGCACGGCTGGGGCTGGGGGCTCAGGCTCATCAGTGTCTGGCAGTCCGGGGCCTGCTGCAGCAGAGCTGGATGACTCCTCCTTCCTTTCCACCGCCACGGAGCCAGAAACGTTGTCTGAGAGAGAGCTTGCAGGATTGGGATCCGGAGGATCCGGAGGCTGCATTCTGGCCTCAGCATTGCGGGCCAGGATGGCGTCGTACTCCTGTTGGAACTTCGCTGGCAGGGGCACGCACGGTTCGTTCGGGTCCCTGACTGGGCTTGGGCTGTACTCTTCACAATCTGTTACAGCAGCTGCTGCATCACTGTCACTCAACACAAGTTCCTGGAAGCTCCCTGACTCCACACTCATCAGATCTTCTTCTTGAAGGCTACGGTGCGGCACAGAAGCCACAGGCACAGGTACTGGCACAGAAGACGAGTCCAGTAGACTCTTCAAGTCTCTAGTGGCACCAGTATGGTCAAGACTCAAGCCGCCGTCATCAATCCCCCTCAACGGCTCTTCATCTTGCAGCGGAGTCACCGGAGCCTGGTTATCGAGTGCCAGTTCACCTGTGAACACACTTTGGGGGTCCAGAAGCTGCTTGTAGTATGTTTCCTTTTGCCCATGGTGAATCCGACTAACGCCAGAGTCAAAGAGCTGTTGTGCGAGCACCAGGCTTTGCATGTAGGCTTTCGTGACAGGAGATTCGAGACTCAAGGATGTTTTGCTGCCGCAGTAGCAAACCAATGCTTTGGAATCGTGTGTGTGTGGAGGCAGCTTTGATCGGCTCTTCTTCTGCTGAGGGAGCGGCTGCAGCTGCCAGCCGGTATGCTGCAGAGTGAGCAACATCTCCCAAGACGAAAAATTCTCCACTTCCTGCAACCCGTTGCCTAGCCTGTGCAGCAAATCTTCCACTGGGGGGAAGACCAGGCTAGGACGGCAAACTTCATGCATGTGCACAAGATTCTCCAGGCCCTTCTCAGTGAGGGCCCATGTACTGTCTGGGTTACTTGAAGAAGTTCTGACGACGAAGCCCGCACGCCTCAGCTCCTCGCACAGAGCCCTGTGTTCCTCGGTTTCACTCCCAGTTGTCCTCACATGCTGCGACACATGTGTGCCAGGGAAGGCCCGCTGCGAAACGAAAAGTTCTAGCAGGGACGCTAAAGCAAGTGTAGCAGGCCGGCCTCTGAAACGATACAAAAGCTTCTTGGCAGTACACCACTGCCGCAGCACAAAAGGAACAGTCTTGGCATCGGTCTTGGACAATGATAGCACACTGACTGGGGACGGGATGCCTTGGGCCTGCTGTGGCTCCACTTCGACCCAACAAGCCTCATCTGATCCCACACATGCGTGCGCCGTAACAGTCATGTCTGTGCTGCTCAGCTTCATCCCACTTGCTGCTGGCAAGTTCAGAACCTTGTTCCTGGCAGGTGCTGACCGGCTCAATCTGAGAAACATGATGGGCACGTCATCTTGCGCTTCAGGCCTGTCATGCGGAATTGTCATGGCATCTTCAGCCTTGCAGAGGGCCATCGTGCATTCATGGGCAGCATCACGGCTAGGGGTGGTCGGGTTTAAAGATAAATCGTCTACCGCAGAAATACTTTCAAGGGGATGTTCAGGCAAACTTATGACTCTTTGAGACTGGAGTCTGGCCTGCAAGCTGGGCAAGGCCAAGCTCGACACCGGAACCGAATAGAGCTGGCCTGGGAGCATGCGGTCCTGCAAGTGTTGAGCAGCTGCTCTGGCCACAAGATTCTCCTCGGACCACCGATTCATGTCTGGGTTCAAATCACGAAAAAATTTGTCCTTCACAGCTTGCCTCTTTCGCTTGTGCTCTTCCCTGCGTTTGCGCACTTCGGAAATGATGCGAAATTGAGATTCCGGATCCAACATATACAGCAGGATAGCAAGTACCTCACGCTTCTGTTGCCTCGAGGCTCGACCTTCACACGCTTCTTGATACTTAGGATGTGCAAAAAGCCCAAAGCGCACAGCAGCATTGTCTGGATTCGCAATCAAAGGCCACTGTGCCAGCAGGCGCTGGTAGTCTGCAGGTTGAGTAAACAGCTTTTTGATTTCAGGCATTCTCAGTGTCATCGATATGTACGCCCCGGAAAGGCGTCCCCTGAAAGCGATGTTTTTTTTAATCCTACCGTGCTGTGCTTCGACTATTCTCTCAACCGTTGGAATAAATTTTAGCTCTTGCACAAACTTTCGCAGTAAGGTCAAACTTGTGTCACCACGCAGCGAGGACCCTTCCTGGCACAGTTGCCGAAGCTGCACAAGCAATGCTGACTCACCTCCATGCGCATCTTTGCAAAGGAACTGCCAGGTTAGACGGTGATGAAGCTCTGGGTTTCTGGGGCTT